CATTTTAAAATCGTGTCTGCTAAAAATCACACTCCAAGTGCACTGCCCTGCCTAGGTCTGACCTATCAGCACAGTCTGGGTCCAAAGGGAATATCGCTACTATGATATAGTACAACTAGAAAAAGGTCAGAAAAGAGCAACAAAGAAAACCAGAGGTATAGACTGGCTGCCAGAGATGGAACATAGAAAAAGCCAGGGCTCGTCAGCTTGGAAAGGAGAGAAATTATAAGGAACATGACTGACATCTATAAAACCCCACAGCACAGTAGCTGACTACGGATCAGTTGCTCACTTGCTCTTCCAATAAGGAAAGCATCATTTCAAGCCGGGAGAAGCCACGTTCAAAATTAAAAAGGTGACTTCTCATGCAACAGCCGATAGACCTGTGCAATTCACTGCTAGATGATGGGTCCAGGGGAAAACTGGACAAGTATGATGAGGAGAAATCCACTGTCTTACTAAACAGGCAGAAACCATATGCCATCAGCTGTAAATGGCTGGGAATGGGAGAGTATTAGAAGGCATTCACACATATCATCATAGAATCATAGAATGGTTTGGGTTGGAAGGGGCCTTGAAAGATCACCAAGACCCACCCCCCCTGCCATAGGCAGGGACACCTCCCACTAGACCAGGTTGCTCAAAGCCCCATCCAACCTGGCTTTGAACACTTCCAGGGATGGGGCCTCAACAACCTCTCTGGGCAACCTGTGCCAGTGCCTTACAACCCTCAGAGTGAAATATTTCTTCCTAATATCTATTCTAAATCTACCCTCTTCCAGTTTGAAGCTATTCCCTCTCGTCCTATCACTACATGCCCTTGTAAAAAGTCCTTCCCCAACTCTCCTGTAGGTCCCCTTTAGGTACTGGAAGGCTGCTATAAGGTCTCCCCGGAGCCTTCTCTTCTCCAGGCTGAACAGCCCCAACTCTCTCAGCCTCTCCTCATAGGAGAGGTGCTCCAGCCCTCGGATCATCTTTGTGATCCTATGTCTAGCCTTACCTGCTGGTGGCTGCTCCTGAGGACTGCAGGATGCCAGGCTTGGATACTATAAAAGAACAGCCATCTTGTTCTGATACAGAAGTATTCTCTGCATTTTACTTGAAACGTAGTACTGTTTCCTTAAGAAGAGTAGTATAATAATTTCCAAAATATTTCACAATTCAACTTTTATACACTCAGCATTTGGCTGTTGCTAAACAATTTGTGTTGAAAGATTTTTATTTTACTGCATTTTCAGTTTTGAAATATGAAGGTGATGTAGCATCCTAATTGCAGATGCAGTTATACCCATGTGAGTGCTAGAAGTGGCGTAATCTTTCCCTGTATTTCTGAAGTATTTAATTACTGCAGTGATAGATATAGACAAGTCCCAACTAATGACAGCATTTAATATTTTTGGTTATATCAGATGTAAGATGGTGTGTGATTCAGGATAGAATTCATTTTCAGATTTTTTTTGTAAGTGGGTGGAATTTGTTGTTGGATGGCAGTTGTGCTACTGCCACCCGAACTTCTGCTTCCAACTCCTCTTTGCATATTTCCTACATGAAATGCCTTAAAAATGCTGAGGGCATCTGGCATCCTCGTGAGGCTGTACAGCCTTGTTGCCCAAAATGTACTGATGCAAAGGGAATGAGCACAGCGCAACAGACAAACCACACAGCACATCATGCGTTGAATGTAGCTAACGTAAAGCCCAGTATCTCAGCTTGTCACAAGCACTAATACCTTGCAGAGGACCTAAAAGCAGCGCAGGCATGTAGGATACACTTCTTTCTAATACTCTCCCAGTGTCCTAGCAGGTAAGAAGAGATCACAAAGTCCGTAATTATTATCTAAGAAATCCTGGTCCAGTGATGCCTTGGAAGTCTTTGTAATCCTCTTCAGAGAGACCTGGATTTCATGCATCTTAGATAAGCCCTGAACAATCTAAGTAGAGCTGAATAGTCCATCGTTCAGTGTTTTACGTAGATTTCTCAAACCTTGTGCACCAGCATATAAAGTCTCTGCAGTAGAGGCAAGGATAAAATCTAATTCTACAGGGCAGCATCCCATGGTCTGCTCAACATTACACCTTCCATTCTCTCTTACCACCCTCTGGTTCCACACACCCTCCAACTCTCACAGCGGGTCAGCAGGCCTCCCAAATAAACCAGTCTCCTTCCCTCCACAACAATGTTTTCCCAGGTTATATCTGATCTGGTGTCTGAAGCAGGATTCCACAGGAAAGTGGTCTAGGAGCAAAACACTGTGACACCTGTGTCACTGCACAGTATCACACATTGCTGCTTCCCAACGCTGTTCTCCATCCCCACTCAAACCCTGCCTCCAGCGCCACACTCCAACCTTGCCCGTTCCAGGCCGACCTTCTCCCAGGCCCCTTTGCTCACCAGGCTTTGTTTTCATTTCGACCCCCTCTGTCCATCCTGTCCCATCATTTTAAGCTCTCCCGTTACTTCTACTCCAGTCACTACTCCAATACGCTTTACTCAGCCTTTCCACTCCTGTTTCCCACTTCCGGTTTTGCCAGATTTTTATAGAACCAGAGCATGGTTTGGGTTGGAAGGGACCTTGAAGATCACCTAGTTCCAACCCCCCTGCCATGGGCAGGGACACCTCCCACTAGACCAGGTTGCTCAAAGCCCCGTCCAGCCTGGCCTTGAACACCTCCAGGGATGGGGCATCCACAACTTCTCTGGGCAACCTGTGCCAGTGCCTCACCACCCTCACAGTAAAGGATTTCTTCCTAATACCTGGTCTAAATCTACCCTCTTTCAGTTTAAAACTGTTACCCCTCATCCTATCACTACACTCCCTGATAAAGAGACCCTCCCCAGCTCTCCTGTAGGTCCCCTTTAGGTACTGGAAAGACCTTATAGGTCTCCCCGAAGCCTTCTCTTCTCCAGGCTGAACAATCCCAACTCTCTCAGC